CTGGGAGTTCTTGATACCTTCTAAGATATATTCAAACCTAATAACTGAATTCTGCCTGAAATGTCTTTCCAAATCTTGAATATACTTTTTAAGATAGAATCATTAACTGGTGTGTGTGTGTGTCTATGTGTGTGATGATATTAAGTGCCCTAGGCAAACTGTTTTTTGAATCTCACTGTAAATAAATAAAGACATAAGCAGATACTAATATGCCCTATCTGCTCTTATGTAGGTTTGCAAACTTTTTTTTTTACTTTAAAAAAATTTTTTTATTTACGTTTGTTCTTTATTTTCTTAATAATATCCAAGAGCTCTTTATAAAACATGTCTATTAACCCTTAGCCTAGTGTGCATGAAGCAAATAATTTTTCCCAGTGTATTATATGCCTTTTATTTTTATTTATTTATTTTTTATTTATTTATTTATTTATTTTTTATTAAGCAAACTCTTCTTAGTTGGGCAATTTTCCCAAAGAAAATATCTCTTTCCTATCATGACCTCTTGAACACTGACATCAAACATAAGATTTTCAAAATATCTAGTCTTTTGAAACAAATCTTATGGGCTCTCTAAGGTTTTAAAAATTAATACCTCTATGGATTAACTGCATTTCAAATTACTCTAATACCTCACATTTATTTAGACATATTTTGAAGTGAACGTAACTACTCAATACAAGGAAACAAACAAAACAAAAACCCCTGAGCAACCCCATTAGATGCAACAGAAGATAATCACCAACACTACTTAGAAGAGAACCCTGCCACTCAGTCAGAATCTAGTAACTCTTAATGAGTATGATTATCTGATTTCCCCGTCTATGGCAGGTTAAAGAAGAAAATTAGAAAGGGATAGTGTCCAAAATGAAAAGTCACATTGACAGTAGCAAGGATTATCAGCCTGACTGTAAGGGAAGAGACAAGAAAATTAGTTAAGTAAATAGCACAACTGCTGAGAAAGCAGAGCAGTCTGAAGTCATTAGTGTACATGGCTCAGTGTCCTTAATGCATCACTCACTGAATTGTGACAGAAGACAGAAATGACAATATCATTATAAGGTGGTCTGAACCTCTTTAGGAAGAAGTAACAAACAGGCATTTTATAAATATTTTCAATAAAAGTTAAAGTACAAAAGCACCTTATCCTTCTCTCCCTTTTTATGAAGAAATAGGATTCATTTAGTTTATCTTAAAACCTTAACTCTACAACCTGTCCCAAGGAATAATTCTTCCGAATGGAGGTATCTCAAGATCGCCAATTTTACTTCTTGGCTTAATTTGGAGCCTTATCATATATTACAACATGTTGCCATCATCAGATTTGTTAATAGATATTCTCATTAATCCACGTCTTATCATATGTACTGGGTCCCACTACTGAGCAGAGCAGTGATTCTTAAACTTCACTTATTATAAAGTAGCCAATTCTGATTTAGAGGGTCTGGGGTGGGATCCTAAGACTACGTTGAAGGAGATGGTCAGAGGAAACACTAACACTGTCGTACAGCCTCCTGCATCTGGCCATACCTGTACTCAATACTATTTATCTTGGCCCCTCACACACAGATTTTCACCTAAGCATTGGTGAATATGTGGTCGAGGACATGGCATTCCAACAGTCAATCTCTATCCACCACGTCTCTGAGGTACGTGTTATATCAAGGTTTATACTACTAAAGTCTAATTCTCTACTTTTTCGCCCAAACATAGGCAAGCATTTGTTTATCTGGGCTTGGGTTTTTCTGCTACTTTCTTATATTGGCCAGTAAATCAAGGGACTGAAAAACTTTGTTTTATCTCCTTGTTAAAACTATAGTTTGTGCTGAGGGTTACCAGTTGGGATGGGGTGGGGATGAAGAAGAAGGGGAAGGGACGAGACAATACAAACAGGTAACTACAATATGGCCTCAGGGATAGAAAAGACAGTCTGGGGAATATAATCAATAATGTTGTAAATATTTTATAGGGGGCCAGATGGACTCATGTCTTGTTAGGGAGACCACTGCATAGAAGGTGTAGAGGCCCGACCACCGCACTGTATTTCTGAAGCTGATGTTGAATAATATTGTATGTCAACTACCATTATATATACATGTAGTCACAGGATGTGGAGTAGAGTGTGGGAATGGAGTCAATGGAATTGTAATAGATAAGTATGACATCGGGGTGGAAGGGCAGTGGATGGGGGAGGGGAGTTGTTACTTTGTGAGGGGTGAAAAGGATAACTATTGCATTGTTCTGTACACATGAAACTAATAAAACAAAACAAAACTATATAAAAAACCCAAAAAACTATAGTTTGTGTTTTTTCCCCCCACTGCTCTAAGGGGTTCTAGATTTGAAACAGGCAAGGGCATATGTGAGATAATTTTAAAGATTATACACTACCTCATTGTAAGGTGAAAAAATAAACTGGAAGATGATCAATAGTCCAATTAGAGTGGGTTGGCTGTCATAAAAACCAAATGCAGCAAAAAGCTCCTTTCGACCAATTAATACAGCAAACAAGAAGAAACACAGGAAAGAATTCATCTAGAAAGAAGGATACAAAATTTCTAAGTTATTACTAAGCAGATTTCACTGCAGTACCAAAAAAGTAGAACAAGACATTATGGCGTGACTTTAAAAATGGTGCTAGTGGGCAGAAAAAGCTATTTAGGTAGTTTTATAGTTTTTATTCTAGAAAGGAAAATAAAGTTTCCCCAACTGTATAAACTATATAGTTTTCTCTAAGGACAGGCTTAAGTGCAGCCTCCTAAGATTAAGGGTTTAAAGTGGTCAATAGCAATGGGATATTTTCTTTCTGTAACAAGCAAAAGGGCTAGAATGGATTCTGGCTTTGTCTGCACCTGACACAAGGCCTCCCGCCTGACCTTTAGGTGGAGCCTTCAAAAAAAGAGGCATCCCTTGAATTCTCTTTAGGACCACTGGGGCTATACTGAATAGTTAGAAAGGCCGAAGAAAAAAGTAGATCTATTTTTAACAGTATCTGAGAGAGAAAAAAGATTAAAAGTCTGCACCAAAATACTTA